GTATTGGCAATTACCTAACTTATCTAGTGCATCCGATATATTCGGGATTGTGTATTTATCGTCAATGGTTTTTTATTTAGCTTCCTAAAGTCGACTAAGAGTCGCCATTTGGTCTTGCCAGAAGCATCAATCTTTTTAGGAACTATCCAGATGGGAGAGCTCCATACAGATTCGGATGGATGAATTATACCTTGTTCTAACATTTTATTGATTTGTTGTTTAACTTCGTCTCTATGAATGTGAGGGTACCGATAGCTTTTAGTATATATCGGTATCTCATCGGTGGTTCGGATGCTGTGCTTTATTTTATTAATAAATGTTAGTTGTTCGCCTTCTATATAAAAAAACGTCAGCGTATTTGGCACATAATCGTTCTAAATTAGCGCCTTCTTCGACATTTAGATGGTCGGTGCGTAAACGTGACAATACTTCTTTGTAACGCGGGGTTGGTTGAACGTTATGAGAGGACTCGATGTTATACGTCTCGGCCCATAGTGGGCGGTCTAGGGAGAAAATTATATCATGCAGAGTCGGGTTAAATACCACTATAATACCGCGGTTGTTTGACACTGATGTAAGGCATTCGTTTATGATGCAATTAGAGATGTACTGTTCGCTAACTAAGGCTTCTCCGTTATGGACGTTAATTGGTAGTTTTATCAATTTCAATGATTGCGATGGTATCACGTCCTCGTAAAAATTAACATTCCTAGAGTTATACATTAAGATAGGATTGATAGCTAATCGCGTTACAAGTAATCTATCCCTTAGATCTATTCTAGCTTCCCACTTCTCTAATAGGTCGAGACCAATCAGGCCATCGAAGTAGTCGTGAAATTTATGAATATATAATTTAATACTATCAGGTTCTTTGAATTCGGAAAAGCATGGAATAGTTATCGAATAGTCATTTCTAGTTGTGGCATGCACATTGGTTACCTCAAACGGATCATAATTTAAAGGTATATGTGAAAAATATTTTTGTATGGCCTCCGGATTTATGAAAGACTGATTCGCCCCGGTATCGATTAGAAATTTTAACGGGGGGTTAGAAATACATATATATGGAAGCTGTCTCTGCGTATGTAAGTTAACTTCTATTTTGGTTTTTTGAAGAATGAGCCTTTTGAAAATCCTGAGTTTTACTGCTTGTAGAAGGTTGACAGTCTACGTTATCGTGTTCATCTATCTCAGTCGCGTCTTGGTAATGGTAATGCTGTGTGTCTTCATAGTCATAGGTCACAGTATTGGTATAGTCATAATTATCGTCATAGTTGTAATAGTCGTATTGGTATTCGGGATAATAGTAACTATTGTAATCCGCACATTCGTTAAAATTAATTTCCCTACTTTTGAAATAATTTGAAGGCGGTGGGTTACCGTATCTACGCCAATCGTGACCGGTCAGACCTGTCGGAGGCATTGGTTTAGGTACGTAATGGCTAACGCCACTCATAGGCTTCGGACCTGAGTCATGGGGTTGATTCCTATTTGGTAATCTAAACATATTACTATGGGGTGTGTAATTAGGTGGCAAAGCACGGAACATTTGTTGAGTTCACGTAGGCATGTTAAACTGTGGTGTGGCATGTTAAACGTAGGCATGGTAAACGTTAGGCCTAAAGGCTTGTTGCTGTGGTACATGTTGAGGTCGCTGTAAATTGGGCATTGGCGTCGGTGCAGGAAAACTGAATGGTTTTTGCAAAGGTAAGGTCATATGACTAGGTTGAAGACGCTTAGGTGCTTGAGGCTTCCTCTCAGCGAAAGATTCACCGCGTTGTTTTAGGTACATGACATTCAGTTCTTCCTGTACAAACTCCAAGGCTTTTTCAACTGTATCAGGACGCATGCAACGTATTCGTGAGCCAAGTGGCTCCTTTAAACCGCGTACGAAAGCTTGCTTTCTTAAATTTTTATATAATACACGTTTGGCTTCTATTGTAGTAGGCAAGGTTTCAAGAAGCGTAACATACGTCATGATAGTGCTGAATAATGTCTGGCATCGTGCATATATTATAATTCTTGGGGTCAGCTGTTTCCCTGAGTAGCTAACGAGAGGTCATTGTAGAGCGCCGTTTCGTCTCGCTGGTCAGAAAAGTTATTGATTAAGGCTGTGCGTATGCCATGCCAGCTTTCAGGAATACCATATGAATTTAAAGTGGTCGGGGTGGGTCCTGTTATCTTATTTAATATCCCGTTAAGCAGGCATAAGTTTGATAGTTCACTGCCAGGCTCATTACTTAGGTATCCCGCACATATTTGGTTACATAAATTTATAAATCTAGTTAATACATTAGGGTAACCGTCGTACTCTGGCACTGGGCGTGAAACTTTGAAAATAGTGTCAGGGTCGTGCGCCATTTTTGGTTCCTCGGTAATTATATTTAACTCTAAATAACAACCTAAATCTCTATTATAGTCAAAATTTGTCTACATGGCTGCCTATGCGATGTAGGGTCGCAGTGGGATGATTTCCTTGGATGGAAAATTTTGACGGGAAATATTTACACTAGGAAAGAGGAAGCAACACTAGATAAAATTCTGGTGTACTTACACAGATTTCATCTCGATTTTCTCGGGATTGATGTCTTGATGTATCCTCTTGGCTTGCAGTTGGTCCGTAGTAGATTCGAATACTCGATTAAAGCTTGAAAGCTACGATAGTGTAACTAAATTTTGAGTATCCTACCGACTGCGCCAATTACGTTAACTGCAGCCGAAGGACCCAAAAAACCGAAACTAATATTAAATACTTTACTATAACATAAAAATTACAATATAATTATTACAACTAAAAAAGAAGTGAATCAGATCGATGCTAGATCTAGAATGATTTTAAATTATTACATTAAAATAAGGTAAAGTAATATTGCAGAGCTCCGATTGCATCCGTTGACGTCAAAGCTCACGTTCTGCTGAGTTGCGCCTCGTGCCGCTGCAATGTATCGGGGTCACTGCTGTGTAGGCTCTTTACCTATGAGGCTATGCTATAACTACTTAATTAAGTAAAAAAATAAATAACGACTCCTTAGCACAGTGGTTAAGCGTTTGGCTGCAGTACTGCAGAACCGAGGCTTCGTTTCCATACTGAAGAAGTGTTTCTACGCCGTAAAATAAATAGTCTGCGACTGGATGCTTGATTTTAACGTTAGCTTTTTTAAAAGAAAAGCGTAAAAATATTGTTTTTTTTTAACACTGATTGGATTAATTTGCTTTTAAGTGTAACAAACATAATGTACAAATTGCTAGGATTCTTCACAGAGGTACGTACTACTCGCAGAAATCATTTACTAATCTTCGCTTTCAAAACTAGTACAAATGTTGTTTGATGAATCAATAAAAAATAGTAAATATTTGTAATCAGGTAATTAGAATATTGCAAATGACTGTAGTTAAATTCTTTAAGCATATGACTTTACGTTATACCTGGTACAAAATAAGATGGCCATCAAAATTGTTTTAAGACTAGTAGTGATTTTAAACTCTTTGGTTATGGTTCTCTTTATACGTCTCTTTGGAAAATACCAGTGTGTTCCTTGCTTTAAATATACTATTTTCTTCTTCTTTTTGTCCTTGACAAATAGAATATACGTTATATCGAAATGAGTAGAGAAAACATGAGGCGTTTCGTCGGGAATTTAACCGCTAGGGGGTGTTACTGTTCTATTAATGTTTAAGTAATGGTTTAAAGTAAATTTTGATACACATGTGACTTTTTGAGACACAGTGTGATTATGTGTATGGGCATGAGATCTGTTAGCGAAAGCGATGTTACAAGTGCTTGGATTGAGAAATTAATACTAAAGTTTTTATCCGTTAAGAAGCCGTGGGATACAATCGTCGTCCTTTATCCTCTTAGTTAAAGTGTCGTCTAATCAATAATTAAAAACTGTGCATTATGACGACGTATCAGAATGTTATAGTTTTCTGAATAAAATACAAATGAGACAAGGCTCTGTGGTCTGAGGCTTTTGCCTGCCGTAATTAGCAAATGCTGTCTTTGGGTGCGTTTGGCAGAAAAAAGCGCTAGCAAGCGCTTACAAGCGCTAAAATAGTTTTCAGCCAGGACACGATTGCTACTTCAGTAGCGCTGACACAATCCGCCATTTTGCTTATTTAATTTGTTTGTTTTGAAGTAGAGTTTATAAGTTGTTTTGTGCAATATTAGTTTTAAGTAATATAATGACATGAATAAACATATACATGTTATTAAAAATTCATGATCGGTAAGTTTTTAATATGAATACTTTACAAACATATATTTAAATTAGGTTAGGTTCCCCGGTTAAAACTAACATCGTGTCCTAGAGGAAAATAGTTACTTACGCTTTGACAGCACTTACCGCTTACGATCGCCATTTTGTTTAAAAGCGCTTTTTTCTGCCAAACGCACCCAATGAGTCAAAGGGTGCGTTTGGCAGAAAAAAGCGCTAGCAAGCGCTTGTAAGCAAAATGGCGATCGTAAGCGGTAAGCGCTGTCAAATCGTAAGTAGCTATTTTCCTCGGGGTAGGAGAACCTAACCTAATTTAAATATATGTTTGTAATTTCATATTAAAAACTTACTAATCATGAATTTTTAATAACATGTATATGTTTATTCATGTCAATATTACTTAAAACTAATATTGCACAAAACAACTTATAAACTCTACTTCAAAACAAACAAATTAAATAAGCAAAATGGCGGATTGTGTCAGCGCTACTGAAGTAGCAATCGTGTCCTGGCCGAAAACTATTTTAGCGCTTGTAAGCGCTTGCTAGCGCTTTTTTCTGCCAAACGCACCCATTGATTATTGTTGTCTGTTGTTGTCAATTGTTCAATTGTCATTTATTGTTGTAGATGTGATGTTGAGTGTAGTGTAGTAGTGTAGAAAAAAGTGAAATTTGTTTGAGTTTTAATTATTGTAACATTCTATAAATAAAACCTAAATGTGTTTGAGATTCAATAAAAGTTTTACATAAAATACTTTCTAATTCTATATCATAATAGGCTGTGACAATGTCACAAAAAGATCCTGGGCCAATTCCAAACCGATGGTTAAAGTGTCCACGAAAAGCCAATGGCCTAATTGCTGAAAAGTTTCTTGCATTCAAGACACCGTTAGGTCCCCAGTTTAATGAAAAAGTACCAATTGAAAATAGATTTACACCATCTATTTTATTCTCAAACCTGAGAGATCTCAAGGTTTGTACGTTGTTTACTTACGCGTCAACTGTTAGTACTATACGCTACGTTTTCTTGTTTTTAAGAATCAATCAATTTAATATAATTTTAATATTCTTTACACACAATATATAAATGTTCTGTTAATTAAAGTACGTAAACCTAGTTTTGGGTGTTACAAATAATAACAGAAGATAATATTTTAGGAAGATCAATATAAATCGATGAAAATCTACGAATAAGCTTTTTTATCTTACAAATATTATTTCTTGTGTGAGTTATTATTTCACATACTATTGATAAACTGCAACATTTTTTGAAGTAGAAAATGCTTGAGATTTTATCCTTCACCATAGTGTTAAAGTTAAAATTGTTTATAATAAGTATATTATTAAAAAATAAACATCTCTATAATAGAGGACTAGTAATTAGATTAGTAATAAAATATATCTTAATTTGCGGCTTCTCACATAGATTTGACAATTTTCCTTGATTTATTATAATTTAGATAAAGCTGGGCCTATGGATTGACCTTACAAATACATCTAGATTCTATGATAAATCTGAAATTGAGAAGAATGGATGCAAATATGTAAAAATGTCATGTCGGGGCCATGGAGAAACACCATCAAAGGAACAAACAAGGTAGAACTTTTTTATAACATATTATTGTTTTCCTAATATATTGTTACATAATATGTTGTCTATTATTTGACAAAAGGTTGTAAAGGGAAAGTGATTTTAGTAAGCATTGAAAAAGTAATGATTGAAAATTGGCACATATTATGAAGTTAATATGTTATAAGCTTACTTACTACCTGACCAAAACAATTAAGCGCATGACAGCTAAGACATCATTAGAACTAGGGAGGGAACACCGGAATGGTGATTAGTCACTAGGGGAAGCCTGGGAATAGAGTCAGGTCGTTAATGTCATGTGTCTAATTGTTTTGGCCAAGTTGTAGTTTAATTTTACATGAGTGCATGTGTATTTTGTTTTTTGTGCCTTCTTGTTCACCTCAATTGTGTTATTACCTTTATCAAGCATTATACAACGTTGGAAGATCACGGCACCAAAGGTTTACTAAAGTTAGTGGAAGGAAGTTTTGGTGATTTGGGAAACTGAAGAGAAGTTTTTTTATATGGTAGAGCCATACTGCAGTATGTTATGCCTGCAGCACAAATAGTAGATGGGCCGAATATGGATTTCACCGATTACGAAAGTTCGGTAAAACTTTTACCGAACCGAATATTCGGCCGAACATTATTCGGCAGGATCACCTCGGTACCTAACCAATTAATGTTGAAACTTGTAACCGTAAAGCGCGCGGGATTAGTGCCAGACTTTTCCTCTGGCTCCGACGTCACACTAGATACGTTATTGCATAATCTAAGTAGATTTAACCCATAAATAAAATATACTTTCAACAGTACAATTATGAAAGACTTATGGCATTAACCAATTCATATATTTCAATACAGTGGACACTTTGAGTACCACTTAATGGATGTTTGATATTTTTAGCCGAATATGAATATTCAGTAAAGCTGGCAAATGTGCCGAATACCGAATATGAAATGAATATTCGGCCCATCTCTAACAAATAGGCCATGCATACATATAATATTAAAACATCTATGATAATAAAACGGTTAATATATTAAAATGTTCTTGTTAGATAATACAACACAATACCTTTATCTATTTGAACAGCTAAGAGCTATTTTAGATTAATCTTGAATATTAAGATTTTTTTTTCATTTTCAGGCAATTCATTGAAATAGTCAATAATTTTATGAATCAAAATCCTGATGATGTAATTGGTGTGCATTGCACACATGGCTTTAATAGGACTGGTTTCTTAATCATTTCATTTCTGGTTGAAGAAATGGATTTCAGTTTAGATGCAGCTCTGCATCAGTTTTCAAAGAAAAGGTATAAAATTGTACTTTTGCTTACAATGCTTGTCATATTTTGTTTTAATGACCTTAATGTCTAACAGACTCATATCAGTGTTAGCCATGGTATTGGCTTTAGCTAATGGATCACAAATATTAGTCCCACATACCAACAAACTAATATTGTAGTTGATATAATACATGATGTCATTTGGGACTTCTACCATGTGTGATTATAAAGTTCAAATACCAACTGTTGACCATTCTAACCTAACAGAGATTGTAGTATTACAAAATAATGTAGACAATTATTTTATGATAGGGTGTTTTTAAGTTTTTAAAAATATGGCTCATTGATTTGGCTGGTATCACAGTACCTCATGGGATCACTCTTAGCCGAAAATCTTTCTTAATCTAAGGACATTTAATTCTATTTATCAGTAAATTGAATTTTTTATACAGGGAGCCTGGTATATACAAACAAGACTATTTAGATGAATTGTATAGACGGTATGAAGATGATACAGACTTTACACCTACAGCACCTCCAAGACCTCAGTGGTGTGAAGGTATTCACAACTGTATTTTTCTTAATAAGGAAAAAATCACTTAACAGCAAATATTTGGTATTCATTAACATCATTTTGTTGGTTTTATTTTCAGAAGAAGAGGAAGACTACCATGAGGATGACATGCAGGCTAATTCATCACACTCGTCACAAGTACCTGGAAATTCCTCTTCTAAGTAAGTATTGTAAGACATTTGGTTTCCAAAATTACTTTAATACTTTTTGTATTAAATACGTACATTAATTACTTCTGTATCAGTTGTTTGTTCTAGTCAGTAGTTAAGTAATTCTTTTCAGCTAGACATACTTTGTTGCTGTTAATTCTTAATTCTAAACAGTTGCAATTTACAAACCCTATGACTGAATTTGTAATGAATTATTCCTTACACAACACACAATAATTTTTATTTTATTTTGTAGACGTGAAGGTAAAAACCATAAAAATAATAAAAAAAAATCATTTGTACCTGCTATTAGTGGTGTAACCCTATTTGAATCTGAACCTGAAGTAACAGAAATACAAGAAAAAGCGCAACAATTTTGCAAATGGACTGGAAAAGGCTTCCCGGGTTCACAGCCTGTTTCCATGACCCTAGACAATATAAGCCTGCTACAAATTAAACCTTACAGAGTGTCTTGGAAAGCAGATGGAGTAAGGCAAGTTAAAAAATCAATTAACTATTTAAGCTTATTTACCACATGAAAATTAACTTTAATAAAAACATTCTATTGTTCTCAGGTATATGATGCTTATTGATGGAGAGGATAAAGTATATATGTTAGACAGAGACAACTGTGTATTCAAAGCACATGGACTTAAGTTCCTTCATAATAAAACAATGAAGCATCTTACAAATACTCTACTTGATGGAGTAAGTTTTTTTATGAGAATGTTATTCCTGCATAAGCAGTATTTTTTAATATTAAGTCATAAATAGTCGGTGATCTTTAAGAAATAGATTTTTTTTAATTCAATATAGATTATAAATTATACTTATTGAAAGTCATTCTTACGTTTAATTTACTACTGGTTTGGAAAATACTTATATCCTGAGAAGAACCCTTAGGGTACTGAGCAAGTCATTTGTTTAAATAAAATAACAATTTATATTAATGTATAATGTTACACAATTAACTTTGCAAATCATATTAGAAATAGCTTGGTAGCGGACACCTCATTCCCAAGGGTTATTATCATTCATAAATTGATAAATATTATAATGACTCATTTTATAAAATTTTCGGTTATAAGTATTTGAACTTAGAAGTGGACAATTTTTGTATATATTATAGAATTTTGTTGTTAAAGGATATAAATATTTTTTATAGAATAATGGGGACACATGAACACACAGTCGACCTGACGATAAGTCAATATTGTGGCTAATAAACATCAACATCCTATCCTCCATTAAGAATCAAAATACAGATGTGTCGTCTCCATTGAGGAGGATAATTTTGTGAGAGCGTGGACCTTCCCCAGTCGAACTGACACATTTGTGCTATGACCATAATATAGCTGCAGTGTGACTGCCACGAAAATTCATACGAGGGTAGATTGAAAAGTACTCGGCCTAACACAGATCCATTCAATTCTAAAAATCAAATCTACCCACATTATTTAGCTTCAGTTCAGACTAGTTCATTGTGTGAAGTTCGAAACGTGTGCGATAATTAGTTGTGATTTTATAAATTTATTAACAAAGTAATGGGACATAATTTCCGCGAATGGAGCAAATCGAGCAGCGTGCCGTCATTAAGTACCTCCATAAGAAGGGGCTATCATCAAAAGCCATCCATGATGACATGGTCAGTACATTAAGCGATTGTGCTCTGTCATATTCATCCGTCAAAAAATGGATAGCAGAATTTAAGCGTGGTAGAGAGAGTGTGAAAGATGAACCCCGCTCTGGAAGGCCTTCGACGTCAACTACTGACGAAAATATTAAAAAAGTACTTGATTTAATAATGGGAGACCGCAGATTAAAAATTAGAGAGATAGCCGAGATTATAGGCATCTCTTATGAACGAACTTAAAACATCATTGTCAACGAGTTGGGTTTCCACAAGGTGTCTGCGAGGTGGGTTCCGCGACTGCTTTCAGTTGAACAAAAAAGGACGCGATTGACTATTTCACGCGACTGTTTGGAGTTATTTGAAGCCGATGCAGATGATTTTTTGAATCGTTTTGTTACTATGGACGAAACATGGGTTCATTACTGTACACCGGAAACAAAACAACAATCAAAACAGTGGAGAAGACCTGGTTCACCACCGCCTAAAAAAGGCTAAGTCGATTTTGTCGGCAAATAAGGTGATGGCTTCAGTATTCTGGGACTCGAAAGGTGTGATTATGATTGATTATCTTGAAAGGGGTCAGACTATAAACTCTGATTACTACTGCACCTTACTACGTCGTTTACGAGAGAAAATAAAAGAAAAACGTCGAGGAATGCTCAGAAGAAAAGTCCTGTTTCATCAAGATAACGCCCGTGTTCACACGTCAGTACAGTCAATGGCTGAAATTCACAACTGTGGCTTTGAACTGTTACCGCATCCGCCGTATTCACCTGATCTGGCACCATCAGACTTCTTTCTGTTCCCTAACCTAAAAAAGCACTTGGGAGGTCAAAGATTTTCGACAAACGACGAGGTCAAAGCAGCTGTAGACGCATATTTTGACTCTAAGGAAGAATCATTTTTTTTCAATGGTCTAAATGCTTGGAAGGGGAGGTGGCAAAAGTGTATTGAACTTGATGGTGATTATGTAGAAAAATAAAAATATAACTGATTTAGTATGTGTTTATTTTCTTGGTTAGGCCGAGTACTTTTCAATCCACCCTCGTAGCTTCAACAAGAATGAATAACATACTCTGTGATGTTGAATAACTGACTCTTAAGAAAATAATAATTATTTACTCATTGTTACTTATGGGAATCTTACAATTGGAACAGAAAATACCATGAATCACCACACTGCAGCACATCACAAGTCTACTGTTGAATACAGGGGCGGCACACCCCATAGATTACCGCAGAGTATAGTTGAGCCACCAGCATGTTTCATTAGGTTGCCACTCTGTCTAGTCGGGGGTCGTCCAAAACTGCGCTGGCAAGTATGTGGCTGTCCCTCGAGAATCTTTTTTCCTCATCAGTTGATGATTCTCCGAGCTATATGGCCAGCCCATAGCCACTCTAGCCTAATGATCTTTTTATTATGGGCTGATGCCCAATATTAATTAAGTCAAGTCCAGTCCATTTGGGTAGGGAACACTATCTTACGTATTTCTACTGCCAAACAGCAGTGTCTACATTGTAGTGTTCTGGTGTGAAGGGTATTTAGCAAATATAATTACAGGCTGTTGAGGCATTCAATCTTAGTTCTCATAGGCGACAATGGATCCGTAGCTAATTTTTCGCTTGAAGTTGGTTACAGATGTCCATGGACCGCAGTGGCCACTAACCATCAGGTGGACTTTCATCTTCTTTGTCAGGTCAATTTAATAAAAAGAAATCCTAATCCATGCCAGTTTTTATGAAGAAGATAATATTATTTCTTCTGTTTGTCTTCCTTTTTACGGTTATATAATAAACACTACCTCTACAAATTGCATAACGTTATCCTATTATAAATATAGCATTCTAAAATTGGATTTACAATTTTTTGAAATTCAATTTAAATTTTCGTTGATTTTTCTGTATTTTTTTTTATACAATAAGAGTGGCAAACAAGCACACAGTCCACCTGATGGTAAGTGGACGCTGTGGCCCATAGACATCTACGTTTATCTTCAATTAAGAATCAAAATCAGATGCGTTGCCAGACCTGGGGACTGAGATTACCTCGTTTCCAATAAAAATGTTCTCTGGTTCCCTACATTCACCATACGAAACACAGCAGCATTAAGCTGCTATTTTACACTACACACTACACACTTTACCCCGGTCGAGCCAACCCATTCATGCTGCAACCACAATATAACATATTTATTGCCTGAACAAAGCTTCTTGTCTAAGAAGCTTTTTGTAAACTTAAAGAGCTTTTTGAAAATCTAATTAAATCTACTATTTTTATAGGAAATGGTGGTAGATAAAGAGGATGGTGAAGAAAAACCTAGATATTTATGCTATGATATTATCAGATTTGAAAATCAAAATGTCGGAAGAGAATCATTTTATCCCATAAGACTAATGTGTATAGAAAAGGAAATAATGAATCCTAGGTAAGTCAGTATTTTAAACTTTTTAACTGGTAAGTTTAAAATTTAACAGTGTACTAGCTGTGGCATCACTGTTATAATATTATTAAGATAAGTTTGATAATTTTTTATAGAATAAGGGTGACAAATGAGTAAACGTAAAATAACAGGTTAATACTGCTGTGTTTTGTATGGTAAGTGTAGAAGGCCGGAGGCCCTTTTTACTGGAATCGAGGCATTCCATCTTAGTCTTCAGTGGTGACAACGCATATGCATTTTGATTCTTAATCAAAAATAAATGTATATTAATTAAAATTACTTTTTACGGATTTTATAGCGTTTAATTAAAAAAAATTAAACGCGATGAAATCCGTAAAATTAGTTTTAATCAATGTATAGTGTTTACGTAAATATAAGAAATCATTATAAATGTAGATGTCTATGGGCTACAGCATCCACTTACCATCAGGTGGACTGTGTACTTGTTTGTCACCCTTATTCCATGAAAAAAAGTTCACTTGATGGTAATAACAATAATGTCCTTCAGACGGAATTTCGGTCACGGCAGCCCATCTCAATGAAGACTATCCATCTGCACAGGGCAGGATTATTTAGTAGTTATAGTGCCCGAGTGTGTACGCAAACACAGGTGTACCTCTCAATTAGACATGAGTGAATCATGAAAGATTCATTCGTTTGAGCTGGTCCACTTAAAAGTATTGATGGTTCATTCATCTGTTTTTGAATGTTCCGGTACAAACAATTGACGGAACCCTTTGTAACTCGTGATCGGTGTGAATTGTAAACGATTTGAAAACCGACCGAATCCCAAATGATCTGAATGAATTAAAAGAAAATTTTAATTTATTCAGATCTGGAACTGGAGCCCGAAATGATCCATTTGAATGATCGATCTGAATGTACCAGTACGCGTGACGAAATGTACTAGAATGATTCGGTCACGAGAATGAATGATTGACACATGTCTATTCTCTATTCTCTTACTCTCGTAGTCCGATGGGCGGCGATCCGACACGACCGGAGAGGACCTACGGCTTTACGTGCTATTCGAAGCACAGAGGTGAAACAGTCAATTTCCTGACTCTGGACTGCTACTGAGATTTTCTTGACAGATTAACTTAATAATTGATTTTTGTATTAGTTCGACCCGGGAATCGCACTCTGAACCTCATGATATCAGCAAGCGTTTTTACAACCACTAGATCAACTAGGCAGTCAAATGTTTGTTTGTAAAAATTTAAGTGTTGTAGTTGTGGCATCACTGCTATGGTATTATGCATAGAATACTATAATACACAATAGAATGGCTGTCGAACTTATTTTGTACGACGATGGGCGTCGCCGGGAGCACACATACAAATTACAATTACGTAGTATTATCACTACTATCAACCCGATTCGCTGTGTTGACAGACGTATTTTAATACGTATTTATTTGTAAATAGCGTGCAATTTGGCATTTTCTAAATAAGTACCCGGTTGACCGAGCTTTGCTCGGTATTTTTCGCTCGGTTTTTTTTAATTCGTGTGTTTTGGAAATTATATTTAGATACAAATTACATACTGATGAAATACGAATAATATTTTTTGATCTTAGCGACATAATAGAAAAAACTGAACTGGTTATTTGAATAAAAAATCTTGAGTGCAATTAGTTTAATTTAAATTTTCGTGTTTTTAAAAAATACTAAAAAAATGGGCTCAAAAAAATAGATTTTCTCAAAAAAGAAAGTAACTTGAAAAAAAATTAAAAAAGTCGATCGGTCGGTCTGGGCTCGAACTATGGTATTACGATTTTGTGACCGCCCAAGATGCCAATTAAGCTATTTGTAATCATTAATAAACTGTTAAAATTTACCTTCTTATTCTAATGATATTGTAGCAGTTTTTCATTGCCTAAAAACACGGACAAAAAGACATTTTCTAAAAATAAATCCTAGCTAGATCGATTTATTCCCCCCGAAACTCCCTGCACACAACATTTTATGAAAATCGTTGGAGCCGTTTCCGAGATTCCTATATGGCTCTACCACACGGACTATAAAAAGTCTTTGCATTTCGCAAGTTGTTAAGTTTTTAGTATTATACATGTTCTTAAAATACTTTCTTTCGGTCTTGGACTTCAATACATAGAATACTATAATACACAATAGAATGGCTTTCAACCTTATTTTATACGTGGATAGGCGTCGCCAAACCCGATTCGCTGTGTTGACAGACTGAGAAAATTTACACACTTTAGACTTTTGATTAATGCTCAAGATCATAATTATATTTATATATACATATTTATTTGTAAATAGGTGCAATTTGATATTTTCTAAGGTATAATTTGCATGCGAAATTTGGAAACGATTGTAACGTCAAAATACATCTCGTGTGACATTTACACGTGTGAATTGACGTGTTAGTGACATTTTAGTGGTTACACGGGTTCCGCCCATTCCCTTGTTCCTATGTAATTACAGTATTCTATGGTATTATGCTACGCAAGATACTTTATATTATAGAATTATTGGTGACAGATGAGCACACTGTCCACCTGATGTTAAGCGGATGTTGTGACTCATAAACATTAAGAATCAAAATGCTGATGTATTGTTACCCCTGAGGACTAAGATGGAAAGCCTCATTTCCAGTAAAAAGTCTCTGGTTCTCTACACTCACCATACGAAACACAGCATAAGGCTGCTATTTTACACTGCTCTTTTGTGAAAGTGTGGCCCAGTCCATAGTGGCCAACAGACCCATTCGTGCTACAACTATAAAATAGCGAAATTTATTAAGGCGATCCAATGTTTTTTAAAAGTAATTTCTCCTAATTTACTTTAAATAACTATTGCTTTTTTAATTTCATTATTTTAAATGTTAAATTATTTGTAAAATTCGAATAGTAATTTTCAAAGTCCACAAGTAACCAGGTTTTGATCAAAGCCATATGTAGTTTTTATGATATAAAATAAAAGTTCTGATCACATGAGACAGATTATGAAAAGTAGGAGGACCTCAAAATCTAAATAAAGTTGATACAAAGTTATTTTTTATCTTTAAGATAGGAACCCAACCCATACAAGAGTAGTAATAAGACTCCTCTATTCAATTACCTTCGTTAGAATAGAATAGAAAAACTGTGTTGCCAAACGTGGCAACTGTGGCAAATACCCCCCCTCCTATGAGGCAATCTATGGGAGAGGCCTATGTTCAGCAGTGGACTTTAATAGGCTGTAATGGTAACTTCAAAGTATCTTAATACATAACAACAACAATAATTTCTCATTTTGTAATTATATTGTGCCTTTTTTATAGGAATAGAGCAATTGCAAGTGGTATGATCAGTAAAGGACCTTTCAGTGTCCATTTAAAGGAATTTTGGGATCTGAGCATGGCGCAATATTTGTTAGAGGAGAAATTTGCCAGGAAACTGTATCATGAACCTGATGGCCTCATATTCCAGCCATCTAAGCAGGTGAGAGATACATCCAGTACTTACATGTATATCTTTCCCTTTTCTTTAACAACACATAATAGTCTACTGATTTATATGCGGTAGAGCCATGCTGCAGTTATATTAGAAGTATAGTTGTAGCACGAATGGGTCGGCTCGACCGGAGAAGGACCACCCTCTCACAGAATACCAGCGTAACATAGTCGCTTTTAATACTGCTGTGTTTCGTATGGTGAGTGTAGAGAACCGGATACCCTTTTTACTGGAAACGAGGCATTCCATCTTAGTCCTCACGGATGATAACGCATCTGCATTTTGATTCATAATCGAGGATAGATTTAGATGTCTATGGGCCACAGCAACCACTTACCATCAAGTGGACTGTGTGCCCGTTTGTCACCATATCCTATAAAAAAAATACTGACAAGCATACAGTCCAGTCCATATTTAGAATAAAGTCCAGTCTGAAAGAAAAGCCATGTTTAGGCGTGTGAATCTCTTACTGCAGTCTCTGAATAGGGCAATGGCAATCTTGAGATTCAAAGCCTCTAAAAGTTGAGTAAAATGAAGCCAGCATACCATTGTAGTTTGCCGACCATATTAAGTTACTGGGGATTCATATTTCCTTGAACCTGAACTTTGGGCGGTTAATTGAGTTCAGGACCAAAGGTTCAAGGAAGTTCAATGTAGGAAGGAGGGAGGATTACATGTCGGCCATTTTACATAGGTAAGTCCTTTGTAACTTTAATTCCCAATTCATTTATTGCAGGGATATGTTCCGGGTGCATGTAAGGAAGTATTAAAGTGGAAACCGAGCGATATGAACAGTGTGGATTTCAGACTGAAGATTGTCACCGAAAGTGGACAAGGGTGAGAGATAACACCTATGATATTATATACTATGTATTGCCGTAGTATTTTCAAATTAAAGTAATGATTATATTTATCTGTTTGAAAAGTAAAGCCTTCCCAATGGAAGGAAGGAATCAGCTCCTCAGTGTTTTTTTCATGAGAAATTTTAAGAACAGTCCGTCTGTTGTACTACCTAAGATAGTGGTAGGAGACTTCATATTTCTTCGAAATTTTATTCTCCAAAATTCTAATGCATCATACTAAAAGTATTGTTACGAGCTTAGGATTCGTGACAGTAAAAACTGCTGATTGAATTACCAAAATTGACATTTTAATTACTGAACACCAATTAAAACTTAAATCACACTAATAATTAATCACACTTAACACTTTAGTTCATTTTAATTCGCTCTGAAAGCTTCGCTCGTATCGCCAATTCAATACTACTCCGATCGCGGCTTTCAACGGCTTTAAATAGGCATTTTCCACCGAAATATCTAGAATATTCCAGTAAATACCGGTCCTGACCGACTACGTGGGGAAAGTTCGAGTGTGGAGTTTTCCAGAAAGCTTAGTTCTTCTATTCGATACTAGATGGCGCTGGAGCTTTCAACCTCCAGCGCCATCTAGTATAGTTAGTGGCGGCGTTGTTATGAAGTTGACAGATCGAACAAGAACCAAAGTCTAAACAAAAGTTAACGATCGACTCTTCATATATTTGTATATTACCTAACAAGTCCTGCACCAATTTACCACTTCCCAGGCTGAAAAAGGTATTAGGCAGGAGATCTTCCTTTATCTAACTTTATTCTTATTTGCAAATAAATGTATACTTTACAGTATAATACCAAAAAAAGTGGGATTGCTGTTCGTCGGACGTGAGAAGAATGCAGTTGCTCAGATAAAATTAACAAAGCAAATGAAACACTTAAACAACAAAATCATTGAGTGTAAGTTCGAGAACAATCGGTGGGTGTTCATGAGAGAGCGCACAGATAAATCGTTTCCCAACAGTAAGGACACAGCTGAAGGTACGTAAGATCGTATTGTATCAAGTTAAAATCCACCGTGCTACTTAATGAAGATTGGTGAGCCCATAAAATTTGTCAAGGCATTCCATCGTAGTCCTCAAGACTGACAACGAATTCGTAAGTCCAATCGAAAATAATTGGGTGCGTTTGGCAGAAAAAAGCGCTAGCAAGTGCTAACAAGCGCTAAAATAGTTTTCGGCCACGACACGATTGCTACTTCAGTAGCACTGACACAATCCGCCATTTTGCTTATTTAATTTGTTTGTTTTGAAGTACAGTTTATAAGTTGTTTTGTGCAATATTAGGTTTAAGTAATATAATGACATGAATAGACATACTTATACATGTTATTAAAAAATCATGATTGGTAAGTTTTTAATATGAATACTTTACAAACATATATTTAAATTAGGTTAGGTTCCCCGGTTCAAACTAACATCGTGTCCTGGAGGAAAATAGCTACTTACGATTTGACAGCGCTTACCGCTTACGATCGCCATTTTGCTTACAAGGGCTTGCTAGCCCTTTTTTCTGCCAAACGCACTCATTGTGTATATGGGTCACAGTATCCTTTTACTATCAAGTGAACTATTTGCTCGTTTGTCATCCTTAGTTCTATAAAAAAAAACACCCAAAACGGTAACCTGCTACTGCAATCGCCACTTAATCAATTATTAATTATTGAGATTTTCTGTCAAGAAGTTATACAGTAGCCACAGCCCAGAGAAAGAAAGTTGGTGTTTCACCTCTGTACCTTGAAAAGCACCTTAAGGTGGCCCTAGTCGACGGCATGAACTAAGTGGTGGGCGGGGTTAAAATGTATGCTACTTCAGCCAACATTACGTGCGAAAGCTAAAGGCATGATGATTTACAACAACACGAGCGCGCGAAATTTTGTAAACAGACCTTTGGCAATCTGGCCATCATGAAAAATCTATAGAATCTATCTGTTCAAAATGAAATTATTTGCACTTTTGAACACTTAGTGTATCCCTGTATGGTAACTGTTTTGTAATTTTCGTTCTTCTTATGGTATTTATTTCCGCCCAAAGATGTGTTAAAATTAGTACTTTTAAATATATTCATTTTTTTCCTTTTTTGTTTCCGTACAGGGCTAGATAATGATGAGACAAATTGAAATCATTTTTTATTTTGAACGTACACCATCAAACAGTGGAGTAATCGCCATACTACGTTTGTATGGAAGAATGAGTGGCTAGTGTACCCTTAAGCCGTGGTCCTGCGCCTGATCTCTCTCCGGTCGTGTCGGCTTGTCGTCCCATCCGACAATGAGAGTGCAGCTTTGCTTGCGTGTTGCGCGCAAATGGCTAATTTCCGTCAAGACTGACACTATTATTGCAATTTATGTCAATCACGCTGGCTATAAAGGCCGCCTAAAAGCTCATGAACCATCAGTGGATAGATTTTTTTTTTAGAATAGCCTTTTATTAACAAACTTCCTTAAAGTAACATTACATCTTACTTTAAATTCGCTATATATTTAAACAAAAACTAAAATCTCGATATTAATTATTTGACACTGGTGTGCAGGTATTATTTTAACGATTAAACAGTGGACTTATAGTGCATTATTTTTTCCAGCGGTGTGGGATAGCATACAGAATCCAGTAACAAAGGAACACCTGTTAGAGTTTATCCATCTGCATGGATTCCACGACGACTCCGACATGCCCCCTCCTGCGAAACGCAGCCGTGTTTAGGAAAATATTACTTACTAAAAGTAACAATATACATAAATTGAAATCAATGCTTTTATGTTAATTAAACTTCACCTGTGCTTAAGCACCTGCACTACATAGTTTTTATTTACTTTATAGTATAGAGGACAGAACAGACAAACATGTACACATATACACAAAATACTTCCTAGTGAGGTAGTCAGAAGCAAAAATAAAACAAATAGATTTTTCCGTATTTCATAATTGTTTATTAACAAAAAAAAAAAAAAAAAAAAACTACTCCATTTACTTTGTATAAATTTTGTAGGAAATATTGGACAAAGTTCTTGATTTTACTTTCAAATATTCCTTTGGTTTGTGATTTAATAGTGCTCACAGCCGCTGAGATATCACATCTTTAATATATTTTATTGTTTTAAAGTAAGTTTTTAGTCCGGTGTCAGGTAATATTTATTGATAAAATTAAATACAAATTAAATATAAATTTTTCATAGTCAAATTTTAAAATAACATAACTCTAGAATTTGTTGAATCCAGTGAAATGTAGTCTGAATATTGGTAATAGATTAATAGATTCCCTTATAATACCACCATACTATATATTTCACAATATTTTGGTAGGTTCTCATAAAATAATACTTGAATATATAACCATCAAAATACTATGTATATACATTTACTAAGATTTTAGTATTAATAATTATAATAATAGATTTCAGCAAACTTACATTCCAAAAACTATCCATTTCTTACATCTAGCACCATTTGTTTTTACAATTTCGTGTATTACACAAATTTACCCAAACTATTTTTCACATATATATGTAATTAAGCATATTACATAAAATATTTATTATAATTCAAAAAGAAATAATCAATATCGTAAAACGGTAAAAACGTAAACGGTAAACGGGTGAATAGGGACAAAGTCAGTTTTTTTTCTACCCCACTGATACAAGTGGATTTTTGAATAATGTTGCTTTTTTAAAATTTTAAGATTTTTATTCTTTACATTGGTCATTAAGACTGTAAAAACATTAGTCAAAACATAGACTCATTATACTACTGCGTATGAACAGGGTCATTGAACAAATAAAATGCCACCGACTCATTGGTGCTAAAATGTTTATGGAGCACCAACGCGACCAGCAATGCGTGCCGTGCGTCCGTGCAGTGTTTTCACGTTTAGATATTTAGCACTATAGGGTAAATCTACTAATATAGGTAGGGCTTTAGGCGTTTCTTCAAGTTAACAGGGTTTTGGATAATTTGTGGTAAAACCGAACTTCATGTAACCCTGATTTTTATTCCCACCCCATGTATTTTTTTTAAAGATTTATCGAGGCGGATAGGTTCAAAAGAGCTAAAAAGTGTAGAATTAAAAAACCTTTTCTTTAATAAATAATATAATAAGAATAGAATAGAATAATGGTATATTTTTACATAGTTACATATTCGTTATTCATATGAGACTAAGTGTTATTATAATTTGAAAATGAAACGTTTTTTCATCACAAAACTTTTGATCGTGAAATGATATTCGAATCTTGCAATGATGTTGTTCTTTAAAATATTGAAAATTAGGTGCAATAAATAAGGCTATTTTGATTTTTTTACGATAATTTAGGTAGTATTTCTACAGGTTCTAGGGTAAAACCAAAATCATAAGTGAAAACACTGGTTCCGTGGTAGTTCATGAGTATTTAAGAGATGGCGCTGATTTATTCTATGCTTAAACCGTGAACAATTTTTGTTCGCACAGCCATATATTGTCATTTATATCAATGAGTCAAAGTGTAGTATTACGAGTGCCAAAATTCTGTTCAGGAAACATTTGAATTTACAGACGATGTAGTCGTCGTTTCGAGTAATGATCATGACTTAATTTGATAGTACTATTGTTCAAGGACCTAATAAACACTATAAAGGTAAGTGCACAACATATTTTCGATTCCGCTCTCCCAGCCTTCGCCGCTTCCAATAAACCCTTGGTTCCCAAAGGCGTCAAATATCCCGCGGCCCTCCGCCGACCCACAAAAACAGGCAGACCCTGTAGTAGAAGATCTAAGCCTAGTGTATAACACTATGAATAAGATCAATCTAGAGGAAATCTTTATCCTTGCACGTAAACTGCACACCGCTCAGTCCCCTCAGGACCGTCTCTTGCTCTTACTGAGCACATCAACCTACTAAGGTCTTTGTAATAACACTATGCCGGAGCCCTCTGCTCTCGCAATATCGCATGGTCGTATCAAACCAAAGGGTTTGTCGCTTGTTTCATTCAATATCCGCGGTTTGCGAAATAACTTCCCAGAGCTTAGGCTATTTCTTCGAGATCGCGAAGCCGTTCTCTTCCTCCTTCAGGAGACCCACCTCAGCCCCAAGGTCTCTAAAGGCCTTTCTATTAAAAATTATTCACTTCTGCGTAATGACAGACCCGACCGCCAAGGCGGCGGTACTGCCATTTATTACAAAAAGTCCCTTCATTGCTCCCACATATCCACTCCGACGCTTACCAGTATGGAAGCCACTATCACTAGATTAGCCATGACTGGACACCAGTCAATCATTATAGCCTCTTGCTATATCCCTAGCGGAACCCTCCCCGTTAAGAGTGATTTCGAAGCCATCCTTGCATTAGGCGACTCAGTCATTATGTTTGGAGACTTTAACTCCAAGCATACTGAATGGACCTGCCGCACTACTACCAGTAGTGGCAGGGTGCTGCTCAATATCACTCAGTCTCTCGACCCGACTGTCTACAGCCCCCCTCGCTGTCACCCACTATCCCGACAATGTAACTACGCTCCTGACGTGCTAGACTTTCCTCTAGTTAAAGGAGTCTCCCTTAACCTTAGAGCAATCGAGTCTCTCGATGATCTAGGATCCGACCACCGTCCTGTATCTCTCCTTCTTGGCCATCAGCCATCTCCAACTCCCACTTCCAAAACCTACACCAACTGGAAGGGCTTCAAGAAGTCTCTAGCCTCGGCTATAGACTCTTCGGACCCTCCCATAACCCTCTCTTTCGACGTCCTCGACAGTACGAGGAAAATAGACATCGCGGTCGAAAATCTCACCTCACTTATAACATCCTCTCTTAAAGAGAATGAAAAGGTTGTCCTGGTTGCTAAAACTAGTCTTCCCCTAGATATTAGCAACCTGCTAAAAGCCAAAAAAAGCTGCCCTCCGTAGAGCTGCACGCTATCTCACTCCCGAATATAGACTCGCGGCCCACCGTCTTCAACGCAAACTCCGTTACCGCCTCCAAGATTACAGAGACCTCGAAAGGGGCAATCTCATGGAGAAAATCTCTCCCTCCCAGCGTACTACCAGATGGCGAGATAGACGCTATAACGCATACTCCCCCTCTATCTCGTCCCGACGGCTCTATTGCCTTCAAGGACGAAGAAAAGGCTGAGTGTTTCGCCGACAGCGTCGCCGTTCAATGCTCTCCCAGCTCACAACCCACTGACCCCATACACATCCAACTAGTGGAGGACGAGGTCCGTCGCCGGAACTCGCCCCCCTACCGCTTCTGACCCTATCACTGTGTCCAAAGATGAGATTTCATCTACCATCAAAGGACTTAAGCCCAAAAAAGCACCTGGTGCGGATGGCATCTCAAACCAAGCCCTCAAATACTTTCCGGAGCAGGTGATCGCCTTATTGGCCATAATCTTCAACGCCTGCTTCGAATTCAGCTATTTTCCCACCTCTTGGAAAGAGGCAACTGTCATTGGCATTCCCAAGCCAGGCAAACCTCTCCACCTCCCCTCCAAACACCGTCCCATCAGCCTCCTCAAGGCCATGGGCAAACTTTTCGAACGAGTCATTCTCGTGCGCATGAGGCGCCATTTGTTTCCCACAGACGGCGACCCTCTTGTCATCCCACAACAATTCGGGTTTCGAGCCAAACACTCGTACCCCCAGCAAGTTCACCGCATAGTGGAATATATCCTCAGCGGTTTTTATCCTCGTCGTCAAAAAACCAACATTGCCAAGGCATTCGACAGAGTCTGGCACGAGGGCCTTATCTACAAATTGTATGACTTAGGCCTCCCAGACCGTCTCGTCCGCCTTGTAGCCTCATATCTGAAGGATCGTACCTTTCGCTTTAGACACGAAGGCACGCTATCCTCTACTCGTCAAATCAAAGCCGGTGTCCCTCAAGGCTCTGTGCTTGCCCCCCTCCTATACATACTATTCACCAACGACATCCCTATCCCGTCGAATGGTGTTAAACTAGCCCTCTTCGCAGATGACACAGCCCTTTACTCTAAAGGCAACTCACTGCCACAGATTCGGAACAAGATACAAAAGTCAGTAAGCGACTTAGGAGCTTGGTTCCAAAAATGGCGTATCGACGTAAACCCGGAGAAAAGTCGTCTCACCACCACTCCGCCAATCAGGATGTTAGGAACCCCTGTCCCATGGCAAACTACCTACCTGTACCCAGCCAAATACTTAGGCGTCACCCTTGATGCAAGGCTCACTTTCGAGCCCCATATCAAGAAGGTTACTCGCACCGCACGATTTTACATGGGTAGGCTCAACAGCATGTTGGGCAGATACAGTAAAATGTGCCTCCGCAACAAGCGAACCCTATATAAGGTCTGCATACGACCTGACATGCGGCCCCCATTTTCGCACATGCTAAGCCCAAAGCTATAAATGAACTTCAAATAGTCCAAAATCTATTCTGTCGTAGGCCCACTAACTCGCCCTATTATGTCCGTAATGCTGACTTACCCCGAGACTTAGAGCTCCCAACAATCCAGCAGTTCCTTAAATCACTCTCTGAGAGATTTTTCAAAGCCTCAGAGTCCCACCCAAATCATCTCATTCGTGAGACAGCTGCTTATGCAGCCCCTATCCACACTCGCTATAGTGTGCGCAGACCGAGAAACTCTATTTCGGACCCCCTCAACAAGCTTTCGGCTGACCTGAACTGCCTCCTGGCGGCTCAGGCCGAGCCTACATAACACATCCCTTAATCTGCCTTAGTTAGGCAGTCGTCT